CATGAAAAGAACACACAGAGAAACACAATATAAAGGTCAGGTCAGGTAGCACTACAAGGAAGATCTGTGTAAATGGTGTGTTTGAAGATAAGGTGTACTTAATTTGCCTGTTTAGAGATACCATGTCTTTCGTTTTCCACCGCTACAAGTAAGTTCACAGAGGACATATTGAAATGGAGATGTACTGTTGAAGCTTCATATTTCACTGGGAACCCAAGAAAGTAATAATGATGACATTCTGAAACTAATCAAATCCCTGCGAACCAACACTTGAATATCATCAATCTGATGCCCACCAGCGACTGGCCCTATTCAGGTGGGTAGTTACCTGGGTTCTAGTGAGAAGTCGAAACCAGTGGGGTTGGGTATGAGAACAAATACTTGTTATCGATGACATTCGCTAGTGACCGCACTATGTGATGAATTTGCAAAAGTTGGAATTCACAGGCTGGTCATTAGATCAAGTCCCAGTGGCTTAATGGTTTACGAGCTCCCTAGTCTTGGAACCAGAAGGTCGTGGGGTTCAAACTTCAGTGATGAGTACCGATGAAGAGCCCCAAATTAGGCTGACGAAACAGCTGGCTGTCCAGTACTCCCAGCTGGTCTTCTTAACCGATGTCAGTTCATGATGAAATCCTGTAAACAATCAATCAAATCCTTGCAAAAACCAATATTTGAATAATAATAATAATAATATGGCCTAGTGCATAGAAAATTCTATCCAGGGTAACTAATAATTGACTAACTTACATAAAAATTCTTTTATCGTTGTGTTACATAAATAAACTCTGAATTTTACATAAATAAATAAATATATAAGTAAACCAGCCAAATATAAACTATATTGAAATGAGAAAAAAACGAAACTAGGAAAAGGTGCATAAATCAATCTGCCTCTTCCTCCATGTGTATGTATGTGTGTGTGTGTGTGTGATTACATGTATACATTTAGGACTGAATAATAATAATAATAATAATAATAATAATAATAATAATAATATAGTCTAGACGACTGTAGGAAAGCGAATGCCTTCCATCGTCTCTCCGTTCCTCTCACTCACACGCACACAGACACACACGGAGGGACTGAGAATCACTTTGAATAAATTGTCATATAGTATAATAATAATACTCTTTCTTACTGCGTACTAAAAACAATTCACAACACTATGGTACACTGGAAAAGATCTCCATCATTTATCTTTTAAACGGTAATAGAAAAAACAATCACCTGAACAAACTGTTTATCAGCTGTTTGTCAATGCATTTTCTTGCCTTCTTTTTTCGGGAGGGGGGGGAGGGGGAGGTGGCGAAAATTGATTTACAGTTGTATTTAGTCTTTACACTATACACTCCTACTGTGTTACCAGCTAAACTATGCATACATGGTTCACACATTTGCCCTACCCCATAAACGACCTGGTACGACTAAGCGCGTGCGTAGACTTCAGTCTGCCTCTGTCAAAATGCTCTCATATGACCGCATCTCCTTCATGTAGTCTCTTTAAGGTGAAGCCAGTTCACTGCCTTCACGTGGCCAGGGTGTTCCTTACAGAAGTGAAAGGGTGAATGAGGGCGTCTGAAGCTGACAAAACCTTCATCGCAAACCTGTAATGTGAACATAAGGTTTCCAGAATCTCAAGGGATCGTCGAATGACGTATAGAACCATAGGAACGTAGTATCTAGCGGTGCTCCATTGTCTTGTGGACCAGACGGTCTGGCAGTGGTGGTGGTGGAGGGGATAACCCCACTGAAAATAACCACTTGATTCGGTCGATGCATACGAGTAGTAATCCCAACCTTCGGATAAACTATTAGATTTGTGTAACGCATCTTTTGCTGCCTTTATGATGTACCAATTTTGTGTCTTAATAATAATTATAATACATTCACCAACAATTGTAATATTGTGTTCAAAACTCGTAATTTGCTTGAAGTTATTTTGGCTGATGCTGTGGCAGCTAGCAGCGTAATCCAAAATGTGCATTTCGTGGTATTTGGGACTCATCAACTGGATGTATTCAACATGATCAGTCAGCAGGAAATGTAAATTGAAGTCTAAAACAACATAATAAATGATACCTATTGCAGAAAAGATACCTCTTATGGTCCATGTGGCCTAGTGGACAAACGCTTTGGTATTTGAAATGAGATGGGTACTGGGTTAGAGTATCAGTTGGGAAATCACAGTTCACTGAGAAATGCAGATACTTCCAGCCAATTAGTCCCGAATAAGATGACACCCACGCCCTGGATCCAACTGCTAGCCACACACCATCAATCAGAATACAATACTATAATAATGAAAACAAAACACGTAGTTCAGCGAAGAGTCTCTTTTCGGCGGCGAATTCATTTTCTTAGCTGTACAATCGCAAATATATGTATGTGAGTTATTTTGTATGTATGTGTACATTAAGTGTGTCAGACAAACAAAATTGCAATTGGTTATGGTTATTTTAACTAGACAGGTGAAGATTGGTGATTGGAGTTACGTTATACATCGGTGGCGCAGCGGTTAGGACGCTCGCCGACCATGCACATGGTCCAGGGTTCGATCCCCGACCGACGCCGCACTCCTTTACCTCGCTAAGCCAGAAATAATGCTGGTAAAGAAGAAAGGTTGGGCATGAGGCTAGCAACCCAATCCTGTAAAATTAAACACTGCTACAGAAACATCAAGCCATTAGCTTGAGGGTCCTATGTTCCACTGGGAACGTGAAGGAAAAAAATACAAAATCAGTCAAGAAAAATAGGTGTTAATGAAATTAGGGTCGTAACAAAGGTGGTGAGTTGTCACAAACAGTTGTTAAAAACAAGTTATGTAATAATATGAATAGATTGATGACTGAGTTTTACTCAGGATACACATAGGAACAAAGTAGATAATACGAGTAAGTAAAACTCACTCATCAAACTATTCATATCATTACATAACTTCGTTTAACAACTGATCGTGACAACTCATCACCTTTGTTACTACCCTAATTTCATTAACACCTAATTCTCTTGACTCATTTTGTATTATGTAACTCCAACAACCAATCTTCACCTGTCTAGTTAAAATAACCATAACCAATTGTAATTTTGTTTGTCTGACACACTTAATGTACACATACATACAAAATAACTCACATACATATATTTGCGATTGTACAGCTAAGAAAATGAATTCGCCGCCGAAAAGAGACTTTTCGTTGAACTACGTGTTTTGTATTCATTAATGCCTGGATGGGGATTATCCATGAATACTAGATTATACTTTGAAGTTGGAAGAATCCATCAAAAGCAAAAGTTGGTACACTTGACATCCTCCGTTTATTAACAATCACTTCATATTTATATAGTAGAGGGTTTAATTGGTGGTAGCATTAAATATCGCGAATTAACAGAAGTTAAGATAAAACATGGTGCGTCGGTGATTCAGCAGTAGAATGTTCGCCAACCATGCAAGTGATCCGGGGTTCTATTTGTGACCGGCTCTTACATATGCCACCCCTAGACGGTTGCAAGTTTGACAAAGACGGAAAGTTAGGTGTGGCGCTAGCAACTCCACCCCACAAAAAAACACTGCTACTGAAACAACGTAAAGGTATAAAATAAAGCGTAAACAGGTAATTGTATCCTAAGCTCATGTCTGAATCGTTGACTACGTTAACCTCGCTTTCCTGAAGATATTAAAATCGATCATCGCTATTAAAGTTATGGATGTGTACCCTACTGAAGAATCCACAACTATGACGAAACAACTATGTCTAATGTTTCTTATTTTCCAGTGATTCTCCTGCAACTGGTGTTTGAGGAGGAAATCCACATGCAGCCCACTAATTTCTTATCACGGATGACAATAGGGAACAGAAAAATGGGCTGAAATAACTACAAGGATATTTAATGAAACTTCATTAATCTCCATTGTGATCTAGCTAGACGCTCAACTTCCAGCCAGTAAGATCAGAGATTCAAATGCCAGTTCAATCTACCGAGATTTGCGAAGCCAAGTAGCCCACATATACACAATTGACGTACCCATTTGAAAATGTATGCGATTATCCCGACCGATAGCTGCTACCTTGATATATTGGTAGGCTTGCATGTCGAAATGACCCAACGAGCTAAACTAGGTAGGACGTATTGTAACAATAGAAGACAAGGGCCAGGCAACAGATCGTTTTATTACGGAAATCAACACGTATTTATGTAAATTTCACATACATTATTATAGCCTAGTCAAGTAGACAAACACAGTCTTCTGATTGGTTGTTTTCGAGTTCCTCGGAAAGTGGAGCCATCCATCTGCGAATCATATTTGCCCACGTTTAAGTTTGCTGTGATTGGTTGTTGAAACAGCCTTGTTCATATTTTCTCACGGCCCACATTAGTGACCTTGACAGTGACGTAGATAAATGTCAACCAATTGGCTAGCAGGCTGCTGTCACCACAGTATGATCTCCAGAGATCCTACTAAGCCAGAAAGGTTGTTAGGATAGCGATTGAACGGCAAAGCCAAAGATGTTTACACTATTCTGAGAGTCTGCGGGTGAAGTTGTACTGCTAGCGAATAGGGATGTAATAGCAGCAATAAAGTGTTTCCCTCAGATGACCAGCTGGGCTATCTTCCCACATTCCAGAGGGGGAGTTAGAAAAGATCGACTCTGGAAAATGTACATCCCAGCTTACCCTGCGACGGACCGTAGCAAGAGGTAACTTCTTAATAACAAGTATAATAATCAACTCAGCGACCCCAAGCAATTGTCTCCTGAGCTTTAGGGATTACGCAACACTAATCCTCTTTCTGTTTTAGGTACCCTGGAAAAAATCAACTTCCGTGATGTGCGCGACCGGGAATTGTAAGAATCACCCATGCACTTCCAGAAGCTCATGAAGTTCTCCAGTCAGTATGCGACTTTAAGTGGTGGTTGTTCAACAACATTAATCAATTGATTGATATTGAAACATCCATCATAAAATGTAATTAACAATAACAATGATAATAACTTACTATAGACTTGGTTTTCTCTGGACGTGTAGCAATTGGAGGCGGGTAAATCATACTATTATTATTAGTAACACCTGTCCGATCACATAAATCATGATTTATTCCAGTATTAATTGAATGACTATAATTATTATTACTACCAAGAGGTAAGTTTGCAATTCGTTGTGACAATGGGGTACCCGTGCCGCCAGCGGCGAGTGATTCACGTCTCGGTGTGGGTACAGGTGTAGCTGAACCAGCCGGTGAAGGAGATGATTGACCTGATGAACAATATTGTATCACATTATGAGGATGATTAACAGAACTGTCAGTCGGGAGGACACCATCAATAAATCGTCTTGGCAGACCAGGTGATAACGGTGGCGGAGGATGATGAATATGTGGACGCCAAGGTATTCGTGAATTGATTTGACTAATTAAATCTGGTTGTTGCTGTTGTTGTTGTTGAGGATGAGGAGAATGCTTGGTAGATTGTAAAAATGTCGATGAAAATTGCGGTGCAGAAGAGGAAATCGATACGGATGACGATGTTGTTTGGTTGATGTAAGGAGACGGCATAGACCGATTGACAGTAGTACACGAATCTGTTCCCAATGCTCTTGATTCATAATCTGAATTCTGGGAACGATACATCAAACAAAGAGATAAATCATTAAGTAAAACAGTAAACTGAAGAATAAAAAATACATTTGGAAATAAAATCACTTTTGGTCCTCACCTGCTATTAATGTTGTTATTAGAAATCGGTTAGCCAAAAAAGATTTTCGATATACTAATGATGTGACCACTTGGCTACTTAACTATTCAAATTTCGGCCAATAGGTCCTGTTATCCGGAACCTGCCACATCTACGTCATCCGAGTAGCGGTTGCATAGAGATAATCAGACCCGACTCGTGAAATGTGTTACACAGACCGACAAAATTTCACTAAAGAGTCCCAAACGGGGACGAAGCAGCTATCCAGTACTCCCAGGTTTTCCAGTGGTTCTCTAACTAATGTCAGCTAATGATGAAATCCTGAAACCAATCAAATCCCTACAAACCACTACTTAAATATATTGTTCTTCGTTATTACTATTTCTTTGTCTCACACCTCCGTTTACTGTCTCTATTTTGCGTTTATTTTTACTTTCTTCTCTTGCTTTGAGTGGTACTTGGAGTGTGGTGACTTGAACTGTCGCACTGCGGTGCAAAGTTTTATGTTGAAAACAGAGAGGCAGAGCGCAGACTGATCTGGTCAGGGTTCTGCACAATGCAAAAAAGTCAATGGTTGTGGACTACTGACAACAGATATGGCACTAAGTTGTTCGATATTTCAACTTCATGAAATCCTCATTATACCTCATGTGATTATTCTTTTCTTCCACACAAAATTTCGTCGTCCATTTTACTTATATGCGTGAGTTTTCTTATAAAGTGTAATCACTTGAACTACTGTTTTTTTTCTTTCCTTCACGTTACCCAGTGGAACATAGGGCCTCAAGCTAGTGGCTTGATGTTTCTGTAGCAGTGTTTAATTTTACAGGATTGGGTTGCTAGCCTCATGCCCAACCTTTCTTCTTTACCAGCATTATTTCTGGCTTAGCGAGGTAAAGGAGTGCGGCGTCGGTCGGGGATCGAACCCTGGACCATTTGCATAGTCGGCGAGCGTCCTAACCACTGTGCCACCGACGCACATTTGAACTACTGTTCCATACTGAAATTTTAGTCAGTTAAACTAGTCTTGTGGCATTCAGATGGCGGTAGAGAGCACTTGATTAGTAAGTATGTCGTGAAGCGGATGGCTCCAGAATCCCACAATGATCCAGTTGTTTTTTCAATCATCTCACACATTATTTTACTCAAAACACAGTCTTGGTAGTAGTACATTAAGTACATCCAGGGATGCGCCGTCACACAAAATGAAGGACGTCAACCAGAAAGGAAGTAAGCTCATTCAACCAACATTCATCACTTCATATTACTTTCAAAAATGTTAGAGAAAAGGAAATTACAGAAAGTTTGTCACTGCGATTGAGATTCTTGACCATATCTGCTTGACATTTCGAGCCACCGATTTGAGCTACCTCTTGGACGCTAACTAGGGAGTCGTGACATACCAATTGATGCTGCTAACCTACCCAATACAACAAATATCCTTCATCCCAGAACGCCAAGTCACATGGGCTGACCACCTCTCCCAAAAGTCACCAACAAGTGAGCTTCTAGGATGACGTTTCATAACACATATTCAAGCCGCCGAGGCAGATGTTTTAAGATGACTACATTCAATAATTGGTGATCTTCGTTGTGTCCAAACAGACATTACCGGACCTCAAAATCAGTTGCACTAGGATGCTGTCAGACGCAAGTAATTCTAGAGGAGACAGTGATGATCGAATGCACAGAGTCACCACACATCCTCAGCTCAGAGAGGTCAAATAGAGGAGCTGGGTGAAAAATTAATTATTCGTGTAGCATAAGGTCATTCATCAACCTTATTCAACAGCTCCATTATGGGTAAATTTTTGTTTTGATAAAGTCTCACAGTGTTATACAGTAATGTTTACTGATGACGTTTCGAGCACAATTTATTGCTCATAATTATATCAAGGTCATCAGTAAACATTACTGTATAACACTGTGAGACTTTATCAAAACAAAAATTTACCCATAATGGAATTATACTCTACCACAGTGCACAAGTTTTATTCTTTTATTCAACAGCTGTACGACAATGGAACATGTCGAGTCATCCACAACGGAAAACTCAGTGAGGCGTTTGGAGTAAACATACAGGAGTCAGACAAGGGTGCTTATTATCACCAGTGATATTCCTAATTTTGGTGGACTGACTGGATTATGCGTCAGACAGTGGAGAAACGAGAAGACAGGGATAGATATCCTGGACCGACGTGAAGAACCTAGAAGACCCGGATTTCGAGCGTGGATGATTTATGTTTGATGTCACACAAAATCGAAGACTTACAAGCGAAAACCATCAAACTGCTCGAAGAAGCAGTCGGCGAAGACAGGACTCCAGGTGAACACAGACAAGACCGAGGTTATGAAAATAACCAGCCAACAACAACAAAAACAGTAGCAGCAACATCCAGCGCCAATCACCATCAACGGAAGGGATTTGAAAGAGGTTACTTCATTCACTTATCATCTGGGAAGCATTGTCTCAACTACAGGAGGATCGGACGAGGATGTCAAATCGAGCGAGAATCGGGAAGGGGGGCGAGAAACACATTCATCAACCAACCTGAAACCAATCTGGAAATCTTCGTCACTCAGCATTAACAACAAAATTCAGTCGGAGTTTCAATACAAACAGCGTCAAGTCAGTCAGTTCTTCTATACGGATGAGAAACTTGGCGGGCGGGTCACAAAGAATATTTCCAACAGCCTGTTGCAGACCTTTATCAACCAACAACTGTCTTAGCTGGATCTATACTGAAGATCAGATGGCCGGGCCGGAAAGAATCACCAACAAGAAACTATGGGCACTAACAAACAAAAGAAGAACCAATCGCCCAACAAATATGCAGGAGAGAGTGGAGATGGATTGGACATTCGCTGAGGAGGCCGCTGGGTGACTCCGAGCGTCAGGCCCTCGAGTGGAACCAGGCCGAAAGGGAAGCGGCGAGTGAGACGTCCAAGGGTGACATGGAGGAGATCGTGTGAAGAGGAGTTGAGACAGTATGGACTAACATGGATGCAAGTGAAAAGGATAGCAGAAGACAGAAGCAAGTGGAGACATGCAGATGAAGCCCTATGTTCCACTAAGAACATAATAATAATAATAATAATAATAGCGTAAGGTCAATATGAGAATTCCCATTATTAAAACTTACCCCAGACTCTGTAATCCCTCGATGAGTTGTTGTTGTTGCATTAGCATGATAATAATAAGCTGGAGGTTGACGAGTAATACCACTACCACTGCCTCCTCCTCTTTCTGAATACATCTGATGATGATTATGAAGAGCAGGTGCTAAAGGAGGTAAGGTAGGCTGTGAGTGAACAGTTTGACAATCAGATATTGAATTAGCCATATTAACACTTTCTCCAGACGTGGAAGCTGCAACAGTCGAGAAGGAAGAGTTAGAAACTCCGAAGGATGATAATTTATGTGGAAGAAGAAGTGGTCCAGGCACTAGATCCATCATACCACTGACATTAGACGCTGGTGCATTACTCCCCGTACTAGAATTACTACCGGAACTACTGTAACTACTCGATGGTGGTATCGCAGTGTTCACACTCGACGATGGACAGAGTATCATTGCAGTTGCTCCCCCATGACCACTGCTACTACTACGACTAACAGCTCCACCACTTCCACCACTACCACTACGACTTCCAATCCCTTCACTACTTCCACGACCACTGCTTAAACTGCTACTCCGTGGACCAATATTATCCCCTGAACCAGAGATACGCGTTATACAAGTTGTATTGGCAGCACGTTCCATTTCAGGTGTACTGCATTTAGTACAATTGATTGTTGATGGTGAATTCATTTGATCTAGATCATTTAAAGTATTGATTTGATTGTGATGACCAGAAAGATCTAAAAGTATAAAAATCGAAGGAAATCAATAAAAAAAAGTCTGATTAATCAATGAACATCAAATATCAAAATCTGAATAAAAAAAACAAAATATACAAAACCGTCCATGCCAGCAATAACGTATTCATGATGACGTGAATAGTAATTTGTTAGTTTTTCGATAAAAGCACATCATTTCTTTGCTTCACTCAATTGGAAATCAATACAATCAGGGCAAGTGAACCAAAATAGACATTAGAGGAGAAGGAGGGAATAAAATCATAAGTGGTGGATTCAAACTAGTAGCTGTTTATTTTATCCATCAGAGCCAGTAGATGACAACATCATCGTCAAAATATCCTTGAAACAAACAATTGATAACTTATTTGATGAGTTATACTGCCTCACCTTCAACCTGCTGCTGCACCCTCCTGGTCACAACAATAGAAGTAGTCGCAGCAAGAACAACCAACAACAGGCACTGAACTGGATTTTTAACGTTGCACTCTGTATAAATATGCGCAGTAGCCTGAATCACTAAACATTTGTAAAATCAAATATAAGCGACTGACTCTATTCAGGTAGGTAGTTGCCTGGGGTGCAGTAAGTCGGGTGTGAGGACAAATACTCACCGAAGACACTGGCTAGTGGTCGCGCTATATTAGTCTGTCTGGATTCAACATAGAACTTGGTACCGAAATGCAGCAGTTTGAGTCGCCACGTTCCAAATAGCACACAGAGGTAGACAAGAAGATGAGTGAAAAGAATCAATACAGTCTGACAAGTATAAGGATGAAACAGAATGGGTAATGGTAGAAAGGAATATGAAAGATTACAGAGACTGAATACATCTGCGCCAGCCATTGACAACGATTTTGAGCCATGTCAGCTATTATCTCCAGCCATTAATTCCTAGAGTCCCGAGGGCCCCAACCCGGAAGTCTGCATCTCCCTACCTGACCGACTCAGTTTAACTGTCAAGGATTTCATGGATTGATGAGGCCATGTTTTTGTTTGGCCACCACTGGCTCTTTTCCAACCTGCACCTATCTATATCAGCTAGTAATGCCCGTCGGCGGGGGGAGGCGATGGTTAGGCATGCGCACCACGTGACCTAGCCATCTCAATCTATGTAACTTTATAGCCTCGTCGATTGATTTTCCCTCTTTGCCCAACACTCTACGCCTAACGTCAACATTACTTACCTTGTGAAACCACCTAACGTGAGACAGAGATCGCAGACATATATGATCGAAAGCAGTCAACCTTTTCATGTCTTCAACTCGTATTGGCCATGTTTCAGAGCCATAGAGAAGGACGGAGCGAACTGCTGAGCAGAGCAGTACATACGTCCCTTGGTTGATAACCGGATGTCACGCCTATGCCAGAGATGGTGTAAGTCAGCGAAAGCAGCTCGGGCTTTTTGGATCCGTGCTGAGATTTCGTCGCCAATCAGTCCGTTGGTGCTAATACAACTCCCCAAATAGGTGAAGTGGTCAACATGTTCTATCACTTCACTCCCTATCACTAAGTTAGGAGTTGACGTGGTCCAGTCCTGTAGCAGCATCTTACATTTTGTAGGGGCGAATCGCATGCCAAACATACGAAGATTGCTACTCAAGGTGTTCAGAAGACTCTCCCTCATTTTGTCAGCATCCTCCCCTAACAGGACTATGTCATCTGCATATTCTAAGTCTATAAGACTATTCCCTGGTAACAAGTCGATTCGTAAGTCATTAAGTTCAGTGTAGGACACTTCCATCAGCATATCTATGATGAAGTTAAACAGAAATGGGGAGAGTGGACATCCCTGTCGGACACCACTGGTTGTCACCAATTCAGATGACAATTCCCCATAAGCCCTTACACGACTACGTGAGTTTGAATAGAGTGCCTTGATTAGTGCAATATACTTTCTTGGCACTCCCTTCACAGTCAGACATTGCCATAGTACCTTTCGATCCACGGAATCGAAGGCCGCCTTCAAGTCAAGAAATATGACAATTGTTGGACGCCGCTATATTAGTGAATTGGCAGAAGTTGGAATTCATGGGCTGGCTAGCCATTGGATCGGGTCCCAGTGGCTGATGAATGGTCTACGAACTCGCCTTGTAACCAGGAAATCCTGGGTTCGAACCCCGGTGGGTGCGTATTGATGAAAAGCCCCAAACTAGGCTGACGAAACAGCTGCACAGTACTCCCTGGTTTTCCAATGGTTCTATAACTGATGTCAGCTCATGATGAAATCCTGTAACAAGATCTTAGACTTAGGAGACAAGCTCCTTCGACCATTCATTCATTGAATTGAAATTCAATGATTTGTGAATTCTGACTTCTGTCAATTCAACATAATGTAGCACTTTACCGCGAACTCTAATGTTACCGATGAGCAACCAACTTTTGACTAAAACCTCAGAAAATCAGTCCAGTAGTCACTAATATTATGAAACCATGGCAAACGAAGCAGAACAAGCTGCAGGCAAAGGAGACCTCGCCACACTCTACCAAACAACTAGGAACCTTTCGGGCAAACGTTCGACACAGATTAAGCCAATAAAGGACGACAATGGAAAGTCAATCACCAAAGAGGTGGAACAGAGAAAGCACTGGGTTGAACACTTCAAAAGACTTCTAAATCGTCCGCCACCTACAACACGTCCAGCAATACCAACAACGGAAGCAGAACTACCAGTGAACACTGACCCCCCGACGAAATCGGAAGTCCTGAATGCAATCAAGATGCTTAAAACTGGGAAAACACCGGGACCAGATGGAATCCCAGCAGAGGCTTTGAAAATAGACCCAGAGACAACAGCGGACTTGATGACACCACTACTGGAGAAGGTGTGGAAAGAGGGCAAAGTACCCGAGGATTGGAAGAACAGTTACTTATTCAAACTTCCAAAGAAAGGAGACTTAAGTCAATGTAAAAACTGGCGGGGAATTATGCTTCTGTCCATTCCAAGCAAGATACTAAGTCGCATCATCCTGGAGAGAATCAAACAAGCCCTAGATGAAAAACTTCGTCCGGAACAGGCTGGATTCAGGAGAAACAAATCATGTATTGATCAAATCGCCACTCTACGGATCATCATTGAACAAAGCTTGGAATGGCAGTCACCTCTCTATCTCAACTTCATCGACTTTGAAAAGGCCTTCGACAGCGTCGATCGAGAGGTCATTTGGAAACTACTTCGCTACTACGGGGTCCCATCGACAATTATACACCTCATCCAACAGTTATACGACAATGCTGCATGCCAAGTAATCCACAACGGGAAACTTACGGAAGCCTTCGAAGTGAGGACGGGAGTGAGGCAAGGCTGTCTACTATCACCAATGATCTTCCTGATTGCAATCGATTGGATAATGCGACAGACAACGTCAACCAACGAGGGAACAGGCATAAAATGGACTGACACAAAAGACTTGGAGGATCTGGATTTCGCCGATGATATATGTCTGATTTCCCATAAACTGGAAGATATGCAAATGAAAAGTAACAAGTTGGCAGAAGAAGCATCAAAGATAGGACTTCACGTGAACATAGATAAAACAGAGATGATGAAGATTCCTTGCCAACATCAACAGCAACAACAGACCACAATAAGCATAAATGGGAAGAACCTGAAAGAAACAACCTCCTTCACCTACCTGGGAAGCATCGTCTCAACTACAGGCGGAACTGACGAGGACATCAAAGCCAGAATCGGAAAAGCAAGACAAGCTTTCATTACTCTCAAATCTGTGTGGAGGTCAACAGCATTCAGCATCAAAAATAAGATCCGGATTTTCAACTCCAATGTGAAGTCAGTGCTACTATACGGATCAGAGACTTGGCGAGTCATAAAGAGCATCTCAAACAAACTTCAAACCTTCATTAACAACTGTCTCCGCTCAATACTCAAGATCAGATGGCCAGAAAAGATCAGCAACAGGGATCTCTGGGAGCGAACCAATCAGGAACCGATTGTGAAACAAATAGGCAGAAAGAAATGGAGATGGATTGGCCATACGCTGAGGAAACCAACAAGTGACATCACTAGACAAGCCCTCGAGTGGAACCCGAAAGGGAGGCGGCGAGTTGGTCGTCCAAGGGTGACTTGGAGGAGGTCATGTGAAGAGGAGATGAAAGCATGTGGGCAGACCTGGAGCAGGGTGAAAAAGTTGTCAAAAAACCGAAGTCAATGGAGGTGCGCAGCTGAAGCCCTATGTTCCTCTAGGAACTAAAGGATACAATAATAATAATAGTCACTAATGAGGTGAGCGGAGCTGTAGCTCATTGGTCTGGACGCTTCACTTGTACTCAGTAGGTCATGTGTTCCAACCTGGCTTTAGACCTACCGAAGTTTGGACAACCACGTAATATCACTAGCCCTTATAGAAAATAGCTGTCGCTCATTACCAAATGCAAGTGGTTCTTGATTATAACATAACGCAACATAATGAGCTAGAGATTAATACTAAAATCTGGGGTTTTGCACGGATCACTGGTGGGGTTTGGTGAGAGCACACTTCTTAAGAGTATCATATATACTATGACAGCTAAAAATAACAGGACTCAGATGATCAGAAAACTTTTAAACTATCCTAATAAATCATCTCGTTACTACACACGCACAATTGTCGTCAGGTGTCTTGGCATAGCAGCACACAAGCATTACAGACTAAATAATTTTTACTCAATCAATATTAATATTTACTGGAATTTACAAAAGGACTTCACTAAAAAGAGAAAATCAATTTCATTAACTAGAACTGCACGCCAGCCCCCGCCTCCATGTACTAATACCACCAACACCCAGAATAGTTTTCTTTTGTCTGATAAAGTATAACTTGAGAAAAGCATACTGTTTTCCTTTTCTCCTAAGTTTTCTTTATTGTGAGTGTGTGTTTATGTCTGTGTTGTGTGCGTGTGTGTGTGTGTGAAAAAATGGAATGCCAATCATAATATTACATACATACAGTGATATAATAGAGTTTCATCAACCACTTTGACATTCCACCTTCACTCTCACCTA